ACACACACACACACACTTGTTAGTGTGCATATAAGTACCATAATGATAGCCGGAGAAGAGTTGAGGTTACTAAAAATTTTGTCTTGCTCATATGCATAATCAACACTCTTGGAACCAGCAATCAGGAAATCAAAAGATGAATTGCTTTTGGAAAGTTTGCTGTCAGAGACCTCTCCAGAGTACTGAGGAGCAATGTAGCAGTCTAGACACTAAGGTGCACCTGATTCAAGCCATGGTCTGCTCAATTACTTGCTATGCATCTGAAAGCAGAACAGTGACTAAGGATGGCAAAAGATGAATCAATGTCTTTGAGTTGTGGTGCTAGAGATGAACACTGAACATACCATAAACTGTTAAGAGAATAAGCAGGTCTGTCCTGGAGAAGGTGAAATAGAGTTACTCCTTGGAGGCAAGGATTGTGAAGGTGTCTCACACACATTGGGCATGTTTCCCAGAAGGAAGGACATAATTATTACGCCTGGAAAAGTGGAGAATCAGTGCAGGAGAGACAGATCCTCAATGAGATGGACTGCTGATGTGACTGTGCAGTGGGGGCAGGTGTGTCAGGGGGAGTGAGATTGGCTCAAAATAGAATAGAGTTCAGAACTGTTTTTCATAGGGTTGCTATGAGTCAGGGTCAACTTGATGACATATAACAACAGTATGCATATAATAATATATGCATGCTAGCATGCATATGTTGACATAATATCATATGAATATATATTTATGCATATATATACATGTATATGTATTAATGTGTGTGTGTGTGTGTGTGTATTCCTAAAGAGCTGAAAATGGGACATGGGGCACAGGGCTGTGAACATCTCTCTGAAATGGCCGGAGGGAGTGAGACTAACATAGCCCTTCACTGCCCCAGAGCAGAAAGCAGATAAAGAGCCTGTAGCCCAGCCACGTGGAGCCTCTATAGAGATTCCAGCAGCAAGATAATAAAGATAATAGTTGATTTGTTGTTGACTTACAGACTTAGAATTGTGGTATCAAGAATGGGATTTATAGGGAAATAGGTTGAGGGGTGGGAAAGGCAATGAATGTCTTACAATACAAGTCCAGGTTTAGTCCCACAGTCCCAAGCCAGATTAATAGCACAATACAATTCCTTAATTAGTAAAAGTCCCATTTGGTTCCTTAGTACAAATCCAAATAATCCCACAAGTTTTGACTCAGAGCAGTTTTTTTTTTTTTGTTTTTTGGTTTTTCTTTAAAATTTAAGTTGTTTATTTTTCATTTCAATGAACATTCTACAGAGATTTTGGGATTCCATTCATTCATTGTTGCACCCTTCTCCCCGCACAAACCCCTCCCCCCCCCCCCCCATTTGCTCCTCTCCTTGAAAAGCAAAAGAAAAACTCCCTCATTGGTACACAATCCCCCCCCCGCACCTCCCCAAACCCTACCCTCTAGCCCCAAATATAATCCACTCTACAACCCTCATTGCATACTCCTACGATAAAAATAATGCCCTAAAATATAATACTTTTAGACTATTCTCTCCCCCATAGACTTCAGCAGTTTTAAGTCATCTTCTCCTCAATTATCTGGCAAGCAAAACAACACCTTTAAAAACTGTGGCCTTTATCTCAGGGCTCCTCTGATTTCACCTTTCTGCAGTTCCTCTACCGCAATGCTATAGTTTCTCTTCCACCATCACCAGGCTCTTGTGCCATGGTCTCACTCTCACCAGAGTCTTGCTCCAGTCTCCATCAAGTCTTTCCCCCTAGTGTGGAAGTACTTTTCCTCTTATCCTAGTCCCACAGCTGCTGATGGTTTTTAAGACCATGTACCTGTAGTTAAGATAGCTGAAGACCAGAAGTGGCTAAGATAATGTCTGAAAAAGCCAACTTTAGGTTAACATTACAAGGGATCAGTATGCATAATAAAATATACTGCTTGCAAAAAATATATACTCCTTTCATTAAAAGGAATTAGTTTTGTTTATTTAAACATATCTTTACTGTTTTCTTTCAATGTTGATTTGTCTTCCTTTCCCCTGACTGTGGAAATGGTTGCTGTTCTTGAATCTGTTGTATCCTCTGTGGTGTCAGATGGATGATCTAGAAGAAGAATTCTCAGTCTGCCAGTATGGAGCTTGTAACTATAGTTAAACAACATTATCCTACTATCACTTGAACTCCATTATGAGTTTACCAGTCCCTTTTTTGATCACAGAACATCTAGCTTCATGTTCGGACCAAATCAGAGATAAGTCATTGCATTTTCCAAACCAAATTTTAAAGACATGTTTCAGTGTGCATCTGTCCTTCTCATTCTAATTTTGTTATTGTTGTTGTTATGTCATCATCTGCCCTGTATTTAATGGCAAATTCAAAATTCAGCTACAAGTGATCTTTGATTTATGCTGTTTAAAGAATATTGAAGCCCAAATACATACACTTTATGAATATATATGGGAGCTCTGGTGGCCTAGTGGCAAGAAGCTTCACTGTAACCCCAAAATCAAGCAGTTTAAAGCCTCCAGCTGCTCCACGTGAGAAAGATAGGTCATCTCCTCCCATGTGATTAAATGCCTCTGAAAAATCTGCTGAAGGGTCAGCTGTGGGTTGGTTCCAACTCAACAGTACACTGTATCTATCTATGTAGCTATCTAGCTATCTATGTATTTATCTATCTATCAAGGGAGAAGGGGAAGGAGGGGAAGAGAGAGATATTGTATTCAAATATGTCTTTAAAATTTGGTTTGGCAATTGCAATGATTTATCTCTGATTTGGCCAGAACATGAAGCTAGATGTTCTGTTATAGAAAAAGGGGATGGTAAACTCATATTTCCTATTAAAAAATGTTTCTGCATGAGGATGAGGACAGTTTTGCTATCTGCTGATTTGTGCATGTACTTACTTTTCCCCTTCAATAAAGAATCCTAGGGTGGCACTGGTTAAGTCATCATAAGCAGCTAACTGAAAAGTGGGAGCTTTAAGCCACTTCTTGGCAGTTGAGTCAGAACCAACCATAACTGATCTTTCATCGGGTTTTAAGAAGCAGAAATCATATAGGAGGAGATTTTTCATCATTCTCCTGCAGAATATCTTGTGGATTCAAACCACGCACCTTTGGAATTGCAGGGCACTGTCTTACCTCTAGGCTACCCACTGCTTCCTTAAATATTTACAGCCTTGGCATTACTAAGGGGAAGATCTGCTCTACCCTTTATGGTGGTTGTGATTTTGATTTGCCTCAACAATACACAGAAACAACAAGAACCTCTTTTCTGCTACCTTCTGCTGTTATCATTTGTAGGTATTATTGAGTCAATTTCTTCACATAACAACTATATGTACAATAGCATCTTGTTTGGTCCTGCACCATTTTAATAGGTGCTTGTGTGTGTAAAACCTATTTCTGCAGTCTCTATGTTATTGAGTGATAGTCATCTGTTTCACTGATTCTCAACTATCCCAAAATAATGCCTTTCTCTGGGGATTGGTCCCTCCTGATAATATGTCCCAAAGTATATGAAACAGTTTCAAGCTTCCTGTTTCTAAGAAGCACTGCCAGGATAATTCTGTAGAATTTTTATAGAATTTATTTCTTGAATAACAAGGTTAGAGATGTCCTAGCTCTGTCACCAGTGACAGCCACTGGGTCCTTTTCAATGTGGAGTCATTTATCCATGAAATATTTGTAAGTTTAAGATACACCCACACATGCTTTTTTCTTTGTCCCACATGTCTCATTGAGATTCCCCAAAAGAAATGAATTGAATGTTTAAAACATTGAACTTCCTTCACTTCAGTCACTTTGTACTATCAAAAAATAAGAAGCCATACTTTTTTTTTTTGGTGGGGCTGCAATGAATTAAGCTAGGTTAAAAGTTCACAACATAGTGCACGTGATAGGACCTGTACAAAATCCACAAAGTAGTTTAGAGTCAGCCATTGTCAGGAACAGAATGAGATCAGGACTTAAAGTGCTTAATTTGTTGTCTTCTCTTTAATTCATCTAGCTATCACACAAGTATCTACCAGATTGCCCTGTCGTGTATAATAGAAAATAAATCTATTTAGGGAAAACATAATGGGAGAAAGATTAATTGGGGGCATTTTCTTTAAAATGGTGGAGCAGCCAGTGTCACAGAATTCAGACTTGTCCATAACCTTTCAGAAAGCGAGCAGATGATCAGGTAACAATGTGTCACTCTGTGGAAAGGTTCAAGTAGGAAACCGGGCTCTCACAAAATAAGCAGTATGACTGAGTGGGCTTGAGTATGCTGAAGTGTTACCTGTAGCACAATTAATCAGATAGCTTCTGATTTGATGTGTATTCATTTAATTCAAACACAACCTCAAAATATGAGCAAAGGGACAGGCAACATTCTTTGTAACATTCCAGAGGTATGAAGTTCTTCAAGTTTGTTTTATTCATTATAAGTTTAGGCAGGATATGTACAGCTGATCTCTTTTGGAAGCTTTTCCAAGGATTTACTCTACTAAGTTGACTACACACACACACAAACTATGGTTGTGGTCCTTCAAGTCAGAAGGTTCGAACTCATCAACCACAACCAGAACCACATAGTGAGTGTTCTGAACCTATAACGGATTGCTCTAACCTGGTTCAAGTTCAGAGGGATTTGACTTCACAAAGGGATACTGAAGCTGTGTCTTTCCAGGCCCAGAGAATCTGTAAAAATAAAACCAAACCAAAAACACCACCTAATCAACAAACCAGCTGTGCACTCATACTTGGACCTGATGATCACAGACCCAGAACAGTCAAGAGTCAATTAATAGCATGTCACAGGGATAGCTCTCCACTGGGTTATATTCATGTCTGCAGAAATAGCAGTGTCATTTCACCCTCTATTGGCCAGGCCCTAATCTCCCTCTGTGAGTTGAGACTGACCAGCCTGCACTCTGGTGTCACAGCTTTGCTGGTGAGAGAGAAATGACAATATGCTGCTAATGACTTTATGTACGTGTTTCTTCCTTGTCTCTGTTGTCATGCCACAATATCAACTCAGCTTTAGCCCCGTGTGCCATCTAGACCGGAGTCTCGGAATGATCTGTGATGAATGCTCTGCCGGTTACACAGGACCACGCTGTGAGAGGTAAGTGTGCCCACCACTGTCTTTCAAAATCATTTCTGCCTTGGGAGTCATTAAACCAGAGACAGTCTCATCTTCTTCATTTACCCCAGCAAAGCTAGCTCATTCAGTGAGGAGGAAGCGAGTTTTTCAGCACCCTTGTCAAACAAACACGTTAGGTTTCTCCTAGTTTATTTCTTCTCTAGAAATCTCCATTCACTCAAAGGATATTTGATTAATGTTTTAATCTTATAGGTTAAACATTAACCTACAATGCTTCTTGGAAGTGTTGCTCAACTGGAAAGCTTTGCACTTTGAGATTTATCTTACTGTCTGCGTTGGCATAATTTATTTTTCATAATTAGCTTTTTGTCCTTAAAATGTAGTTTAAATGTGTAGTTCATAGTTCAGCAAGTGGCCCATAATTTACCATAAATATATTTGAAAATAGAAACAAAATCTCATTTATTATCATGATTAATATTCCCTTCTAATTTATCCTAAGCCTGTAATGCCCACCAATCTTACTAGATTGCTTTCTAGTTGAACCAACCATGGATATTAGTTGATGTAACTTGTATACTTGGTTTTTTCTTCCTGAACCGTTTTTGAAGAAAAGATTTTTCTCTGTATTCAGTGTCAGTATGAAAATGGAATTAACTTCCCCTGGATATCATTGCCAAACATGACAAGCTCCACTTTAGCACTGAAAATAGTCCCCTGTGCTTCCATCACTGCGGGAGTACAGGAAGTGACCTGCTTTCACCCATCATCTCCAAGGCTAACCCTGCAGCGGGCTATTTCTGCCGAGCCATTCCTGTGTTCTTGGCAGATGCCACCCCTGTTTCAACCAAGCTGCAAAAAGTTAATGAAGCAGGAGCCAATCCCCCAGAGAGAATTTAGCTAGCAGCCAGTCGTCTGCAAAGCGAGTGCCAGTAACAGTTCCTAACAGCAACAAGTACTGCTTGTGAGGGTAGCAGAGTCCCTAAATTAGTATGGGAGAAGACAAGTGAAATAAGTAGGATTTATTTGCAGTGAAACACATGGAGAAACTGGAGGTCTTTAATTGTGTAAAGAGACAGAGTGAGGAGGAAGATGTGTTTATTACTTACTGTATTGGGAGAACTTATAATTGGCAAGAGAGATTCACTTCAAATGCCTAATCACCCAACTCACTATAGGAAGTTATTTTTATTTTTTTCTCTTTTTTCTAGCAAGTAAAAATTGACAACTGCTTTGTCACACAACACCATTAAATCTGTTTATCTGGGTGATCTTTAATGTGTTTATACTGATTTTCTGTTTTCATCTTATTACCAATATTCTTATACATGCTGTACATTAGCTTCTGAACATCAACACTCAAATATTCTACTTTTTGTTAGGCAGTCATCTCATTAGCAATGACTGTGCACTGATCACAGTGCTGGACTTTAACCATGAGCAGGTGCCTCATACCTTCTTGTTCCCAAACAGCTTAATGTAAACTGAGTGAGAGGGCTTTGCGTGGATTTTAGAGAGGATCTTAGTCTATATTAAAAATGTGAAGGCAGATGGGCAGCATTGTATGGTCTTTTTTTGTCTACTCACCGGACAGAAGCATTTTTTACTGTCCACCATATCTTTAATCTGGTTTTAAACAATGGCAGCATGAGTATGAAGCAAATGCCTCCTAGTTAAGGTTTTCTGTAAAAATTTATCTCAAGCAATTATTATATAGAATGAGGTCTAGTGGCATAGTGCATTACATGTTGTTCTGCTGACTGAAGGATCATGGGTTTGAATCAACCAGTTAGTCAATGAGAGGAAGACAAGATAGCTTGTACTGTCAAGATTTATAACTTTGGAATCTTGACAATGAAGGATCACTATGTCTTACAATTAACTTCAGTTGATTTTCATTTTTATGTAGAAAATGTAATACTATATATTAGGATTAGAATTTTCTAGGATTATTCAAGATTGATCGTTTCTGTGTTTATATGAACTAAAAAGTCCACTATGGATCTAAAATAATTAGAGAAACATCTCTGAGATCTATATGTTGAAGAAGTATGGAGGAAGGCTGTACAAGGTAAGAATGAGATAGTGATTATGTTGAGAATCTTATCATCAAAATGAAACTTTAAGTAATTTGTGTGATCAGGTTGTGTGCCATTTATAAATTTCAGATGACAATTTCTTTTTTTGTTTTCTATTTTACAATTTCTTAACTGTTACAATTTGACTTGAAAAATAGCTACTAAGCATGGAATAGGATCTTGGCTTTGCTTTCTCAAGATCCATAGTTAGCAAGGAATCCAGTAAACTATGTATTTGTTGTTGTTAAGTGCTAGAAGCTGGTTTCCAATTAATAAAGAACCTTTATGAATCTTGGGTGTGAAACACTGCCTGGTCCTATGTCATGATTATGAGAGGACTTGATCATTCAAACTGGCAACTAGTTCTTGGTAGAATAAAAAATATGAAATTTTGAAAAGACTTTGATGTATAAGCTTTCACTGATCATATCACAAAGCCCTATTTTTTTTTAATTACATATTCACTTCACTGGTCCTAGAATCATTTCAAAAGAAATCTTAAGAGAACTTCCTAAGAATATTATTTTTTTTATTTATAAATGCATGCATACATCTATACCAGGAATACAACCTGAGTGTATAGTGAAAATTGTCTTGCTTTGAACAAAGTTTTCATGAATATTCAGTAGTTTTGTGTCCTACAGCATAATTAAAGGTATCTCTAGGTAGCCTATTTAATTATAATTAAATATTAATTTAATATTAATAATTATTTATTCCTTCCATGAACTATAATGGGTTGGAGAGGGTTTTTTTTTCTCTTTTTTAATGCAGAAGAATTTTGGACTGTATTAATTTTTATGTATGCTTGAGTCTCTTTGGAAGAAAGAATGATGAGGCTTCACCTCACATACTTTGGGCATATGCTAGGAAGGTCTATTCCTTGGACAAGGGCATAATTCTAGGAAGAGTGAAGAGCTGGAAAAGGAGAGGAAGACCCTCAACCAGGTGAATTGACACCTTGACTGCTGCAATGGGCTCTTGTGTATCAGGAAGTGTGAAGATGGAACAGAATAGAATAGGCTTCAGATCTTTTTTCTTAGGGTCACAATGAGTCATAATCTATTTGACGGCACCTATAAACAACAACATGTTAAGAAAAATTCTCAGACCTTGTTATAAATGTCATCTCTCCTGAGGATAGTAAGTAATTTTGAAGAAAGTGAGCTGAAAATAATGAAGTTTTTGTTGGCTATGAAAAATGGTAATTTTATGTCCTTATTCAAGAGGTAAAAAGTCTCTCCTAGTTGTAAACAAAGTGAGATACAAATATTCATTCATGTGCTCTTAAGTCCTGAATATTAAGAAAAGAAGAATGAGGATAAAATGCTAAAGAAATTTCATATTATCTTTGTTGAAAATGACTTCTGAAATTATTGTGGGAGACTACTTTGCATTGAAAATGTTAGTCATATTTCATGAAAGGATTTAATAATTAATTTTTCTGAGTGGCACTATACTTCCAAGTAATAATTATAAAACAGGCCAACATAAGCATGTGAGAAGTTTTGTGAATGAAATTAAAACCAGTAATCTTCTCATTTAAAAACTACCATGACAGAGTAAATCTATGGTATTTACTTTTAGGATATTATTATAGTACATAAATGTTTTTTCTAGAAAACTTTGTATATTCATCTAATCTGTTAACACTGACACATATTTTTCATGTTATTAAATTTTCTCCAAAATAATGCACTGTTAAAACCATTTCTGTTTTAAATGTTAGGAACCATGCTCAAAACAGTGACTTCAATATATATGATTGCATGAGAATAAAAGCATTTAACTATTTGAGTAAATTGTATTCTCCTCCTTGTTTTAATGTCATTTCAAATTTGACTCCTGCAGCAAAAGATTTTGTATAGTGGAAAGATAACAGAAATCCCAGTTATCCTAGCCATAAGACTTTGAATGCCCTGGTTTGCTTCTTTGCTGGTGAATGTGATCTAATACAAAGCAAAAGCAAATGTTACTCAAAGAAAAGAGAGACCAGAATATAAATAGGAAGGTCCTGTACAAGTGACAGCACATAAAAACAGGGCCTGTACAGTTCATAGGTACTTTTGTCAGTTTGAGTGTAATTTTGAAACAAAATATTAAATCAAGGAAAAATATTATATAGCATTAAAAATCTTTTCTGGTATACTTTAAAAAAAAAACCAAATGGACTTTTTTATATTTCAAAGTACGATGTGGTGATTAAGGGAGGAATAAATACCCACCAAGAATTTGCTACTATTGATTGTGAGCACAAATGTACATTTAAACTTCACCTTTTGACATGCTACCATGATATACAGGTATGTCTTCTCTGAGTTCTCATTACTAAAGACCCTTTAATGAAAATTTGCCCCACAATGAATATAGAAATGAGTAAAAACCAGCTTGAAATACATAGATACCCAGAGATACTGTTTTGGCAAGGATCCAAATGACAATGTGAATCTTTTGCCTTGGATTTTTTTCTTAATGCAATGAATTTTGAATTCTCAATCCTGAATTTCTTTTTGAGCCTGCTTCCTCAGAACAAGCTCTTTCTGCAACAACAAAAAATATGTGAACCTTATCTATTTGTTCAGAAAACAACGAAGTAGGATAGATACATATGATGTGATGTACTACAAAGGCTTTCCAGCCTGGACTTGGATTCCTCTCAGGGCCAGGAGCAGATTTCTTACTATGTTTTGATCAACATTAAGTGCCAGTGACAAGACTTTATTTTTTTCCCCAGCTGAAATCTAATTACTAGTGAGGCTGGGAGAATTTCATCTTGTATTTACACTGCAGACACAAGAGGAATCGTTTAAGAAAAAAAAAATCCTCTTGCATGTGAGAAAATGAGCCCTTAAAAGAAAAGCTATCGTCTTGGGAGATGGGTAATGTGAAAACTCTGTAAACATTGCCCCCGTTTGGATTTCTTACTTCCCCTCAAATACTCAGCGGTGGAATTTTTCACCTTAGGTGCGCGGAAGGCTATTTTGGACAACCTTCTGTACCTGGAGGATCATGTCAGCCGTGCCAATGCAATGACAACCTTGACTTCTCCATCCCTGGCAGCTGTGACAGCTTGTCTGGCTCCTGTCTGATATGTAAGCCCGGTACAACAGGCCGGAATTGTGAGCTCTGTGCTGATGGATATTTTGGAGATGCAGTTGATGCAAAGAACTGTCAGCGTAAGTCCTGAACTATTGATGCCTCTGACAGAATTGATGCATTTTACCTCAAAGTAGATGATGAGTTATTGGGTTTGAGATGGGGGGAGACCCTGAAGAGTAGAATATTACATGGAATACATTTAAAATAGATGTGTTGCACGTATACCAAGCCTGCATATTCTAAAGCATTTTGTTGGAATATCTAATAAAGTAAAATGTTTTGAAAATGACTGTATTGTAAAGAGCTTTTCAAATAATGCATATTAGAGTGCAAAATTTAAGATGAGCTTTTGCCCATAGTAGAGAAGAATTTATTAGATAGGCCCTGTTTTTCCATTTTTGTTTATCTCAGCTCTAAATACTTCTTTGAAATAAATTTATTTTCCCACATTATTTCATTAGTACCTGTCAGTAGGTGATAATAAGTTATGCTTTCATATGTGCTCTTTGCATTCTTCTATTTAATAACAGGTGTAAACATTCTGTCAATAGTTTTACAGGCTGACATTTATAATTGCTGAATGATTAATCATCACCATAGGAGTAGTCATAGGATACTATTTTGGGGTTTTCTTTTCATAAAGTTAGCAGTCATTGAGCTGCAGCACTATCACTATGTTCTGCCCAAGTATCTTCATTCTTTGACTTATCTTTGTCAACACTGCACAGAATTTACAAATCCTAAGCAGTGTAGTCCAGTGGGAGTTGTGCTGCTAACCCAAAGGTCATGCTTTCCTGATGGTTCAAACCCATCAGTGACAATGAAGGAGAAAAATGGACAATCTCCTCCTGTGCGATCTATAATCTAAGAAAACTGCTAGAGGGTCAGCTGTGAGTACTGTCTCAAGAACAATGAGTTAAGCCAATCTGTTAAGTGGTTGTGGTGTATAATACATACAGATCTTGTAGGAAGTCTGACAGAAGGTGAGTTTACATCCGCGTGTGAGTGCTGTGTGCTACCATTAACAGATTATCTGCTTCCGTTATTTGTAGCCAGAGTTTTAATGAGACCACCCAACATTTTGTTTCTGCTAAAAGCATTATGTAAAAATGACTTTCTGGAGCATCACTTGTTTCCCATACCTGCAGACCTCTAGAAACTGTTAAAAAATAGTCTCTATAAAGTCTCTGTTGTAAGCAACTAAGATCTTACAAGGCACCTCATTTCAGTAAGAACTATATCCTTCTCCTCAGAAGATAGGAGGAAGAGTTTTTGACACTTAAAAATTAGTATTGTTGAATCAAAACCAAAACACTCAAGCTCTATGTACAGCCGTGGTGTCCCTTTGGAGTAATTCCTGGTTCCAGAGACTGTGTAGTACTGAGCTGGTGACCAAGAGGCTGTGACCTTGGCAGTTTGAATCTACTAGCTGCTTCTTGGGAGGTAGACAGACAATTTCCTCCCGTTAAGAATTATAACCTCGCAAACTTGATGATGTGTTGCTGAGTTGGAACCAACCCGATGACAGTGAGTTTTATGTTTTATTAATATCATCTGTAAATCGACATATTTTCAAAAGCACATTTTTAACCAGGTTCAAATGTACTTTGGAACACAGTTATTTTGTTAAGTACCAACAAATTGACTACAATGCATAGTGACCCTGTGAACAAAAGATCTGAGCCTTGCACAATTGTCATTTAAAATCATAGCGAGCTTAATACATTCTTTCAACTATAATAGATGATTCAAGATATGCACTTCCTATATGTAACACTCTGCAAGATGTTTGCCTTCACTGAGATGCAGTTTCTCATTTATGAAAAACAAACCAACCAGTCATTATCTGTACAGGTTAAAGGATACATATCATGCTGTTGTTATTATATGCCATCTAGTCACTTGCGACTCATAGCGACCCTGTATACAATAGCCCTAAACCTTGCTCTATCCTGTACCAATATTATTGTCTCTGACACACATACCCCCCAGTATCCCAGTCAATGATTCAATCCATTTCATTTAAGGTCTTCCTCTCTTGCATTGTCCTTCGACCTTTCCAAGCATGACATTCCTCTCCGAAGACTGGTGCCACCTTGCAACATATTCAAAGTATGTCAGATGAAGCTTCAGAACCCTTGCCTCCAAGGAGCAGCCTGGTCTCACCCTATCTAATATGAACCTGTTTGTTTTCTTAGCAGTGCATGGTATATCTAATACTCTTCTCCAGAATACAACTCAAAGGCATCTATTCTCCTTCTTTCCTCCCTAGTCATTGTCCTGATTTCTGATGCATAGCAAGTAATTGCAAAGAGTACAGCCTGAATCAGGCACACTTTAGTCTCAATACTGACATATACTGACATATTCAATACTTTAGAGAGGTCTCTGACAGCATACTCTCCCATCACTATATGTCTTTTAATTTCCTGGCTGCTGATACCAAGAGTGTTGATTGTGGAGCCAAGCAAACTAAAGTTGCTAGTAATTTCAGTCTATTTACCATCTCTCCTGATGCTGTCAATTGGCCCACTGGTGTTTTCTTGATGTTGAGCTTCAATCCATATTGAAGGCTGTAGATCTAATAATAATAATTGAAGATAAGAAAAATTGTGGATTGATATAAAGGACATCCTACAGGAAGCCCATAAAAGTTCTTAAAAAGACAAGGTATAAAGAAAAGACTTTGGAGGTGTAAAAGAGGCTAAAATTTGCTTATGAACATATAATAACTAAAGTTAATGGAATAACATGATAAAATTATTTCACAATACCATTAATCCTAGATACAAGTAAAAAATTGCAGAAGATCATTTTAAAAACACAGTTGTAATATTCCAGAAAATTTCAGAAGCTCAAGCTGGATTCAGAAGATGTTATAACACTGATATTACTGCTAATATCAGATAGATCTAGGCTGAAAGCTAATAGCTGATGTTTACTTGTATGCTGGATCTTAACAAGTTATGGGTAACACTGAGATGAATTGGAGTCCAAGAACACTTAATTGTGCTATGTGAAACATATTCCTAGACCAAGAGGATATTGTGTGAACAGAGCGAAAGAATACTATATGATTTAAAACAAAAGGAAAAGGTTGTATCCCTTCTCTATACCTATTTAATCTGTGTGCTGAGCAAACATTCAAGAAGCTGGACTCCATGAAGAAGAATGTGGCATCAGGATTAGATGAAGACTCATCAGTCACTTTCTGTATGCTAATAACAGAATCTTTGTTGCTGAAAAGTGAGAATAACCTGAAGCACTTGATGAAGAAGATCAAAGACTATGGCCTTCAAGATGGATTGTCTCTCAACATCAAAGAAACTAAAATTCTTATCACTGGACCTATAGGCAACATCACTATAGATGGAGAAAAGATTGACATTTTCAACAACTTCATCTTACTTGCATTTGCAATTGGTATGCTTGGAACCAGCAATCAGGAGCTCAAAAGATGTATTGCACTGGGGAAGTATGCAATCAGGGACCTCTCCAAATTTTTGAGAAGCAATGATGTTATTGTGAGGACTAAGGTACTCCTGATTTAGGCTATGATCTTTTCAGTCACTTGTTATGCATCTGAGATCTGGGCAATGAATAAGACTAAATGAAGAAGAATTGATGCCTTTGAACTGTGGTATTAGAAAATAATAATAAACATCCCATGGACTGGCACAATATCAAACAGATATATCTTGGAGAACGTGAAACTAGAGTGATCTCTGGAAGCAAAGATGGCAAAGTTTAGTATTACATAGTTTGTACATACTGCTAGGAGAAACTATTCCTTGGAGAAGGACATCATACTTGGGAAGGTGGAGAAACAGTTAAAGAGAAGAAGACTGCCAACCAAGTAGGTTGGCAATGACTACATCTAGGAGTTCAAGTATGTCATAGATTGTGAGGATGATACAGTATAGGCTAGGATTCAGATTTGTTGTTCATACTGTAGCTATAAGTTGCACTTGACTCAATGCCACCTAACAACAACTGTATGTTTACATCAATTTTATTGACTAGTCAAAGATTAAATTGAGTGGATCATGACAAATTGTGTACGAAATCACAAAGAAGTAGAATTTCAAAACACCTAGTTGTGACTTGTACATAGACCAAATAACATCTGTTTGAACAACAACAAAAAAACATTATAAGGTTTAAAATCAGAATATGTGTGTATCAAGGTTGTATCCTTTACCGATTTGTTCAATCTGTATGCTGAAAAAATAATCCAACAAATCAGGTTATGTGAAAAGGATTGAGGAAAGACTCTTTAGGAACCTGTGTTAGGCATATGACATAATCCTGTCTGCTTAATCTGAAGACTTGAAGGATTTACTGATGAAGATTAAAGACTACATTCTTCAGCTTACACCCCACCTCTACATAAAGAAAAATTTTCCTAATTGAACAAATAAGCAACACTATGATAAATAGAGAAAAGATTGAAGTTTTATTTTACTTTGATCCACAATCATTGTTTATGGAAATAACAGTCAAGAAATCAAATATTATGTTACATTGAACAAATCTACTGCAAAAGACATCTGATGCTTTTAAAAAATTTATGTATCCCTTTGATTTCTAAAATACATTTAACTAGATTAGATATTTTTAATTTTCCTATGTTGATCTTGTCATTGTTGTTGTTGTATACCACTGCGTCAGAACCAACCCACATCTGGCCCTCCAGTGAGTTTTCAGAGGCAGTTAATCACATGGGAGGAGATTGCCCATCCTTCTCCCATGGAATTTTCTCATAAGCATGCTAAAATTTGACAGTGAAGGATAAAAAAAGAACTGAAGTTTTTGACTTACAATGTTGTACAACAATTTCAAATATATAAGAGACTAACAGAACAATGAATGACAACTTTCTTGGAAGAGGTATAAACAGAATTCTCCTTAGAACTGAAGATGGTAACACTTTCTTTTATACTTTGGGTTGTGTTATCAGGAGCAACTATTTCCTGGAGAAGAACATTATTCTTAATAAAAGACATTATTTTGAAAAAAGGCATAGCAATGATTGTGGCTGATGCAGGACCAGGCAGTGTTTCCTTCTGCTGTAAAC